TATACAAAAACTCAGAAAAGGTGCTAGCACAAGCAATTGGTGCTGCCAACGGAATAACAATTTTGTACTATCACAACAGTGTGCCTTACAACTATCTAGGGAAGCTCCGAGCTTCAAATATATTGTCTTCTATTCGTCCTTATCTGACATCTACTCCTGAAGAACTCCCTCTCAAACATTTGAAGTCTCCAAAGAGTTTAAAAGATTTTCTTGAATCATCTGACAAGGCTTTAATCCTGTTCGAATTTTGCGGATGGACTACTAGACTGCTGTCAGAGTTGAAGAAAAACGTAACTGAAGAAAACCTTTGGCAGGGTGAGTTGATCTGCTGTTGTTGACTCTGGGTCTACATGACGAGGGATAATCCTGATCTTGTGAGATTATTTATGTTCCTATCTTATTTGTTTGTTTATGGTTTGATTTTTGTAGATCTCCTAATATATTAGTCTAGTAATTCGCTAGGGTAAGTGAAATCTATATAGTATTAGTTCTTTAGAGTTTAACGAAGAAAAGCCTTCATCTAATATATCAGATCCTAGCAAATATGCATTTCTTTTCAGTCTTGTGAACTAGGATTCTTACCAAGAGTTATTAGTCTCTCCAGTGTTGCATCCCGTGGTATGCAAACCTATATTTGTTGTTTATCAGCTATCAACTAGACTGCTCTCCTAAAAATGAAATGCCCGATATTGCATTTGATTTTCTTAAACCCTTTACAAGATGTCATGTGATCGCCATTATTATAGTATACGCATATCGTAGGTTTATTTATTGAAAACTTGGATTTTTTGGCCAATCCTTATGACATTCTGATCATTACTCTGCAGGAAACTTCTCCAAAAAAGTAGAAACTGATCAATTGCTAAAGCTCAGTGGAAAAAATAACCAGAAGGTGGCTGGTAGATTCTCACTTCATGTCTAGATGATGTTGATATGTTCTAGTAGGTGCATTTCTTCCATAATGTTAATTTTCTTTGCCCCCTGGAAACAGGCTACGCAGAATGGAACAATATGTGTGGACTACAAACTGGATTTGGTAGAGTTCCTTGGCTTGAGGATTTTAGCTATGTCAATGATACTGCTGCTTTGCAGGAAAATGGCAGGGTAAATCTGGATTTTGGACAGACATGTAACCATGAACAGTTCAAGCAATTTAGTTCATTCCTCCCGAGATTGATTGCCACCGCAAAAGAGTTTTCTCTGCCTCCTGAAAGGCAAAAATTTGGTCTGATCACAGAAGAATCGTTGGCTTCATCTTTTAAGATTGGAGAATCTGATTCGTGGGCAGCGATCCTTCAGCTGGCAGGATGTCAACATTGCTCAAAGATCCTCAAGGCCGGGGATGACATTCCAAGATTCTTAAAGATGGAAAATCCCATAGTCACAGAGGTATGGTCTCTTTATGTCTCTAGGTTTAGTTGATTTTGCATATTCACGTATCTTTACCTGTTCTTTGAGAATAAATAGCTGTAGCTAAATGAGTGTGTAATTTGTTAAGTGGGGTCTTGTCTTGTTGTATAGTTTATTGGGTAACTACCCTTCGTAACTTAAACTGCCTGAAATTTAACTTCAAAGAAAAAAATGGTGCTCATGCTCTGTTTAGACTTTAGAGTACTCTAATTTAGACGAGATGTTGCAACAAAACCATGATGTGACATATTGAACTTGTTTCCGTTTAGGAATCTAGATATAGTCGTGGTAAAACCTTTTATTACATTTCAATTTGTTATTTTATCCGTCAGAGTGTAGTGTGTGATAGGAACTGGGTTTCTATGCACTGAACTTTCATAGCCGACAAATGAACGCTGTGAATACTTTGTTAAACTGATCTTGTTTTACTCCAGCGACAGCATATCTGTAACATTGATCTCCATGTTGTTTAAGTCGATACAATTTGAAATTGATTTAGTATTTACTATACTTCCAAAAACCCCATGTCTACTAAGATTATATAGTTATGTCCATTTATAACAATTTAAACTTGCCTTACATACACCAATCTTGTTTTATTTCATGTAGCTGGAGGACGACTGGCAAGACCATGAAAGTTCCTTCCCTGCAAATAAACCGTCGATAATTCTTTTTGTGGATAGATCAAGTGGGTCCTTGGAGGATAGGATGACGAGTATGAAAGCTCTTGATACTTTCAGAGAGGTAGCTGCACAGCATAAGTTGTCTGACATAAAAAACTGGAAGAATGATATTAAGTACGAGAACTTCGTAAGCCAGGCTGCTCAAGAATCAGGATCCGTGTCACTTCCGAAAACTGTCGGAAAGGTTAAGACTATTAAGGTAGAGAATAAGGTCTCGTTTATGATTTGGGATGGGGATAAAAATGTAGCCCTAGATACTTTAGCACCAGGTATGGAAGGCAGTTCCTTGCAGGAGATTCTGACAAATCTTCTTCACAGAAGAAGAGAAAGTAAATTGAGCTCAATTGCTAAGGATGTTGGTTTCCGTTTATTATCTGATGATGTGCACATAAAAGTGATGGATGCATTACCATCACAAGCTGAAGTTATCTCTGGACAAACGACGCCTTCATCTTTGGCAGAAGGTTCTAGTGAAATTTTTCTTCAACCTAAAGAAGGGGATGTGCAAAGCAGAGTCAGTATGAGTTCTGAAGAAAAAGATGAAATGAAATCCTTTGAAAGTGAATCTTCCTCCCCCAGTGATGAAGACCAAGTTTCTACAGACGGAAGTGAACAATTAGTAATGACAGAAACTGATAAGACTAAGGTTTTTGTAAAAGACAATGTTGAGGGAGAGATCGACGTATCATTGCACTCAGAACCGAAGCAAGATCAAGTGCATAGTTTCACGGGTTCATTTTTCTTCTCTGACGCAAATTATGCTTTACTTAGAGCTCTGACTGGTGATGTTAAGATTCCAACAGCAGTAATAGTTAATCCTGCTTTACAACAGCACTATGTCCTTCAAGATGAGTTAGCATTCAGCTATTCATCTCTGGTTGACTTTCTCCATGGATACCTCAATGGAAGTCTATCACCTTATACACAGTCTGAATCTACCATTCAAAAGCCTAGAATAGCTACAGTTCCACCTTTTGTTAATCTGGATTTTCATGAAGTGGATTCTATTCCCCATGTCACTGTCAATACTTTCTCCCACATGGTTCATGCATGGAATCAATCCAGTGCAGAGAAGGCTTCCTGTCCTTTGTGCCAAGACGTTTTGGTCCTTTTCAGCAATAAATGGTGTGGATTTTGTCAGAGGATGGAACTAGTTCTACGTGAAGTATACCGATCACTAAAAGAATATAAAGAGATAACTGAAGGAGTATCCAGGAACAATCAAGGGCTTTTCAAATCAGGTATTGGATGTGAAATTGGACATGTTTTCAACTTTTTTCTCCATTCTCTTATTCTATTGTTTTGTCTGTTCTGAAGCAGAGATGCCAACTAATGGCAAGAATCTAAAATTTCCACTTATCTACTCAATGGACTGCACGTTGAATGATTGCAGCTTAATCCTAAACTCGATCAATCAGGTACTTTTCATGATAGCTTGCTTGACTTAAGTCTAGTTTGTTTGATTGATTCTAGTATTTGCATCACAATACTGCTATCCTTTATCTCAAATTCTCAATGCAAAAATATCTTTCTCTGAAACCACTGTTAAGAGCTTATGATTGTGCACACCAATTTCTCATTTCTGGATCTGTAACGTTGCAGAGGGAAGTTTATCCTTCTCTGATATTGTTTCCAGCCGAGAGAAACAAAGTCATTCCATATGAAGGGGAGACATCTGTAACTGACATAACAGAGTTTCTAACCCGCCATGCGAATAACTCTCGTGACTTTTTCAGTAAGTCAACATCTGCATCTATTTCTGATTCACTTGTTTTATTCATATATGAATATTATTTCTAAAGACACCATGTACTGTCTGAACATCCAAAACAAAAATTGAAAGGACATAGTTTTTCAGCCTTAGCTGGTTGAGGGAATAACATATTTTTCTGAGGAAGTCTTTTGGCTTTTTATACTTATTATTGATCTAAACCCTAAACAAAGCAAGTTATGAATCTTTCTCTGGCAGGAATCATTCCTACTCTGTCTGGAAAAGTAAGAAGAAACTCAAACATGTTCGATCAATCTTCATCCGCGGTAAACGATGAAGTGACAGATGGTGATAAACTTGTTGAGGTCGTTTTAAGGAACAGAGAGCCTGTCGAAAGAGAGGTCAATCATGACCAGGTCAACTCCCAATCGCCTCCGAAGCACCCACTCACAAGCGCTCCCCAAGTGAATACCGGCACAATCCTGGTCGCTACAGAAAAGCTATCTGCCTCCCAACCATTTGCCAAATCAAAGATTCTAATCATAAAAGCAGGCCCCGGAATTGGTTTCCTGGGTCTAATCTTCAACAAACGTTTAAGGTGGAAATCATTCCCTGACCTCGGCGAAACAGCCGAGCTTTTGAAAGAAACTCCTTTATCTTTTGGAGGTCCCGTCGTTGATCCAGGAATACCTCTTTTAGCTCTGACCCGAGAGCGAGACTCATCCACGAACCATGATCACCAAGAGATCTCACCAGGCGTGTATTTCCTAGATCATCAATCCGTGGCCCATAGAATCCAAGAGTTGAAATCAAGAGAGCTGAATCCAAGTGACTACTGGTTTTTCTTGGGATACTCAAGCTGGAGTTATGATCAGTTGTTTGACGAGATCGGTCTTGGAGTATGGGATGTTGATAACAGCGACAGTGTCTTTGGTTGGCCTTGACGCTGTTGCATTGCATCGTTCTTGCATCTCTTGAAATGTTTTATTTTACTTTTGTTTTAGAAAGGAGAAAATTTCCAAATTTGTAGAAGAATAGAAGATAGTGAAAACCCACATGTGGGTAGAAATGTTGGTTAATTGTAGATTACAGCAGATAGATTTTACACTTCTTCTTTTAAAGCATAAATTCTAAAAGTCAAAAATTGATTGGCCACAAAAGTTTGTAATTCACATTTGATTGATTGTTACAAGATGAATCAAACAGAAAGTCTTTATATTCGATAAGAAACCATTTAACCAAGCATAAGTAATACACAGGAGACGAGCAATAGAAAAGTAAGAATCATAACAAAGTCATTCATCTCTCTTTTTGCCAGTCCTGTACTCTAAGAAGCAAATCTTATCCTCCGGATCAGGAAATGCAAAGAAGGCCTCTCTGTGAGTTACATCAGCCTGAATATGTCTCATCGATGCTAGGTATAAAGGTGACCACATCCTCACACCAGTTAGATTATTGAGGGCCGTCATTGCATGAAACACTGTATACTTGTAGTCTGAGCGCTCTAAGAGTTGGTTATTGGAGGTTTGTAGTGCCCTAAGTGAAGGGATCCTAGGTGCAATAATATCATCAAGTTGGTCTGTTAAATCATCAGACATATCATCAAGCAGTAAATCCAGAATCATTTCTCCATCGCTTGATCCGCTCGCAGAATCATCATCATGCTCTTCAGACTGTATAGAATCCAAACTGTTTTCCCCAACGCTTGATTCTTTCGATCCGGTTGCAGAATCAGTGTCAACTTCCTCTTCAGAAATATCCATTTTGGGAGTATTTTATAGCTTCAGGGGCAACTCCTGTAATGAAATTAAACAATTTTAGAGTTAAAAGACATGAACTAGGAGAAAAATCTATCAAAGAGAAAAGAAATGTGCAAATATGTTAATCTAATGATTTCGCCAGTCTCTCTATTAGCTAAGCACGTTTTGAAAAACACACAGAGCAAAAGATTATCGCTCGATCCTAGTGAAGCGAACGCAAACCTCAGAACGATTTGAAGAAGCAAAATGTGGAATAGAGAGACGGTCAACGAAGAAGAGTCCCGCACAAAATCTAAACATCAGAAACCATCACATCACTCATCAGGTGGGCGATGGACTCTGAGAAGTGAGAATTCAGAATTGGGTTTAAAGTCTCCCTTTTAGTGATTCTCAAATTAAGGTAAGGGTATTTTCGTCAAACGTATATACTAGTTTGACTTATTGACCCTTTTCAATTTTTTTGTGTGTGTAAATTATGTATGAGAAAAAGACACGTAGAGCGCCAAAGGACTAGTGGTTGGTGTGAAAATGTTATATATAGCGGATAAGGTTTTGCATGGTTCAGGTTCTCTTCCTCCACACACACTCCAAAGCTTCTTTCTGAAGACTCATCATCATCCATGGCGGTACGTTCTTTGGTATCTCCAAATCTCTTGAATTCTAATAACAAGGTATCTGAAAATACTCTAGTACGGCCTCGTTTGCTTCCTATTTCTTGTCTCTCCAAGAAACACGAAGCTTCTTCTTCGTCGGTATATTACTTCTTCGATCTTCGTTCTATTCATTTACTCCTTCTGTGGGGAATTTGAAAGAACGATGACTAGATATGTGACTAATTAAACAGGCAGCCATTCATGGAGGAGGGAGCTCAAAAACAGTGAAGCGTCTCATCACATTATCCCCTAGTGAAGGAAAATGGAACGGAAACTGGAACACTCAGTATGATGTCTCTCTCCGCGATCTTCACCTCCAAGATCTTGTTGAAGATGGCCCCGCCAATTCCCGTGTCTCTGTCCACCTCTCTGTCCAAAGGGTACCTAGCTATCTCTCGAACTTTAAGATTTGTGTGTTTAATGTGTTCAAGTGACAGTGTTTGAACATTAGCATCTGTCTAATGCTGTTACTTGTCTAGCACGCGAGTATGGGACTCTCAGTAGATGGAAGAATCATAACTTCTATCGCAAGAAAGTGCAGCATTTGTTCCTCTCTTTATCCTCGACTGGTAACTGTTTCCGTTTAAAAGGGTTTCTTCAACATAAAACCCTTCAGCAAGAAACTGTTTTGATGACATATCTGTGACCAGATCGATACAAGTTTCACCGTCTGGATTTTGCCATCGAGCCGGGAGAAGCGAACTTCATCACTGCCAGAAATTGGTGGTGATGATCCTTCGGTGAGTCCCCTTAGAACATCATAAGACCTCTCTACATATTCTATTTACGTTTCAAAAAAGTGAAATGAGTAAAAGACTCTGTTGTCAGGTAATCTATGTGAGACCTGGGTATGAAGCTAACCTTGATTCCCTTGTACAAGACACTATCCGCCTCACAACTTATGCTAAAGTAAGATTCAAAGCTTCGAACTATTACCAAGGTCCATGGCATCCATAAGGCCAAAACCTAAGATTGATTCTGCACATCTCTAGCGTCATGAATTTTGTGTATATATGAAGTCTGTTTGCTGCACTAATATTGTTGTTTGGTTGTAGGATATATGCTCGGATTCTTGCGAAAAGTCGGAACCGACACTGCATTGTAAGCAGCACTCTGTTGTTTTGTTTCTCTTTTCCGGCATGACATGTGACATGTTTGTTAATTGTTCACAAGGATTAAAGTGTTTTGGTTACTGAATTGCTTCTGCAGATGTTGGTGAGACAAAGACAGCTTCTTTTGATAAGAGATGGTCAAGACTACTTGAGCTTAAGAAGAAGTAGACACCAAATTGAAATTGTTTCAGTCTGTCTCGATATGTATCTCAAAGTCTCATGAAGATTTTGATACTGTTTATACTCGAATATATACAAAAAATAAAAACACATTGAGAACAAAATGTAATGCCTCATGTAACATGTAAATTTGTGAAACTGATGAGGCTAGACCGCAGTTATTGACGTTTTGAGTTTTCTTTTCATCAATAAACGTCTGTTTCTCTCTTTGATTATTGATTTTGAGTGAAAATTACATGAATGCAGCTTAAGAAAGCTTTACTACATACGATTAACTTCAAAAAATTATGGTACATCTGATTTTGAGTTTTATGATGGTAAACTAAGAAGAAGATGGAAGAAAAGAATTGTTGAGTTTAGTTCCTCAGACCCTCTTTTTGTTGCATTTTCTCTCTCAGGTTTCCGAGAGGACCATATCCTTTATCTTTCTCTTCTCTGCCACACTCACATTTCCTCTTATTCAGATTCGCACCACACTTCAAGCACATTCCTTTACACCCAGGATCGCATATCGCAGTGATGGTGATCTCTAAGTGGACCAAGTCTCTTATATGCTTTGAGATATCTATTTCTTTCGCCTCAGGGGGAAAATGAAGTTTATCCTCCCAATCTATCCATGAATCATCATCATCCTCAGTTTCTTCTTTATCATCCGACAATCCGGAAAAGGAATTGGCTTTGTCACTACCAAATGTGAATCCTAGATCAATGACATCGGGTTCTTCAACTGGATCTTCGGTTAGTAATAGTGAGAAGTTGGAGAATATGCTCTCTCCTGTTGACTCACCACATCTTCAAACATATAAGAAAAAACCGGTAAATAACAAAGTTGATGCAACCACAAGATCGTAAAGAAGCTGTGATGAGTTCAGAAGAAAGCACCTGTTGCAGCCAAGTGTGATAACAGTCTTGACAATCCCATCGAGTCTCAGCTTCTTCTTCTTCCTTATGACATCAACCGCAATTTGAACTGGTGTGCCATCTGGATAATCCTTTACATCTTTTGTCACTCTTAGTCCCATTGCGGAAGCTCTCTTCTTGGAGACCTCTGTTGACAATCTTCCCAACCCAAGCCTCTCTAAGGTAGTGCAGTATTCTACATGTGTGACTGAAGCATTTCTCCTATACATAACCGAACCTTCCCAAGGTGACCCGATATCCTCAATCTCCTCCTGATCTTCCCAATCCATATCTATTGTGCTGGTCTCTGTAAAAGACTCCTGACTAACTAATATCCGACTCTTTGCTAGCCTACAAAGTTTATGCGGTTCTGCGAACAAGTAACTGATATGCTTCCTAATATCGCCAGTGGAAGCACTTAGATTTAAGGTACATGTTGTGAGTTTCAGAAAATTTGGACGTAACCGTTTGGTCTGTGGCAAGGGAGCTACACATGCTGAAGAGCAAACCAGAGACATTTTCACAGCACAGATGATAAGAGGAAGCAAGACTATCAAAGTTGTCAAACTATCATACTAAAATTTCGAGACAACTCCCAATAGGTTTGAGCTTGTACAGCTTGAAACAGAGAAAACAATCATACAAGAAATCAGACACCAGATTTCACCACCTGCAAGAAACATTTGCTGATATAGTGTCAATATTGTTTATAAGACAAAAAGATTCACAGGACGAAGTCTGAGAAGAAAAATAATCTCAAGATTTATCTGAAAAGAAGGAATTGGGTAGCGAGGCTTCATAGTAACATCCCAATCAGAGTTAATGTTAACAAATGAATTAAGTGAATCTGAGCTTTGCATTTTATCGAACACCTTCTATGCACCCATTATTTTTAGATAAAGGACAGACCTTTCGACTTCCAATTACAGCCGCAAACATCATGATGGACATAATCGGGAAACAATAAAGAAATTTCGAACATAAAGAGATGAAAAGTACTATAGAGTGCAATAGCTTACCTCTAAGATGTGCTTCAGGGCACGTAGGTTCGGCTCTAGATGATCGCCTCTGTAAGATTTCTTACATAAACAGAGCTCTCTAGTCTCTACTCGGAAATGGCTGCCTAGTTTATCCTAAAACCTCAACCGGTTTACTCAAAACCAAACCGCTTACCAACTAAGTGACAGATTGGTTTGTAGTGTTAGATTCATAGATTGTGCTGTATCATGCCATATGATATGACTTTAAGTAAAGATGTTACAAAGAGAAACATTAATATCTGAAACAAAGTCTCATAAGCAAACTAGCAAATCCAAAACTGAAAATCTAAAATTCACTCAAACCATAAGTCAAACAACAGCATGAAGCAAGTGAAAAACAAGAACAATAGTCTTCAAAGACACTAAACTGAAAATAGGAAACACATAGCACTACTGCCACCAATTATAATAATAGTCTCAAGCAGGGGCTTATAGCTTAATCTGCCTCGGCGTAAGCAGTTTCGAGATGAGCTTGCTCGGCTTCTCTAACTTCCTTCTCGGTCTTTCTTCCTTTCTTGGACTTGTAGTAAACACTCATGAACGTTCCAATAGCTCTGTACTTCTTGCGGCACTCCTCATACAGTTCACCATTGAACATCCTCCAGAAGCTCTTCTCGTCGAGCTCAGACACCGCGTATTGAGGCTGGAATCCATGGTTCTCGATCAGCCATTTCTCCATCTTACGCACAGCTTCTGATCCATCAAACTGTTCTCCTCTTAGGACAGGGCCAGGTGCGTAGTAGACTCCAACATCAGTGAACATCTGAGCATCTTCTGTGTCTCCTTGTCTGTTCTCGTACTCAAAGCCTGGTTCTGGGTAGATCTGGCCTTTGATTGGCTGCTTGAAGAGTTTGTGTGGGCAAAGCCAAATTGGATACACCTTAAGGGGACAAGAAAGGCCAAAGAATTCATGAGATTGCTAATAACATTAAAGAAATAGTAATCAGTCATGACTTAGAGGTTTTAGTTTTACCTCCATTTCGCGGTGAACCCATTCGAGGGCATCACCAACCTTGTAAAGAGGAACAAGCATGTCCTGAATAACATGCATATCATGGTAATAGTTCCTGATAGCTTCACCTTGAGTGGCCTTAAGAAGGGAGACCTTTGGAGGCATCAACCAACCAAAGAGGAACCTGAACCAGAACTGATCACCAAATGGAAGAATAAGTTTGCCTTCCCAGTACAAGCACCTTGTGTGCCTGTGGTAGTATTCCCTTGTCGGGATGTACTCAACAAACTGTCCCTTTTTCAGCGCGGTCTGCGCATGCTGGTAGAACCATGGCTTGAACCACCATCCCACATTGTTGATTTTGTTCCCTTTCTTCTTTGCCTCTTCTTTAGATGCGTATGTTCCAACCATCATCACTCCTTCAGTTGGGTTGTAAACCATGCCTTCAACGAAATCCGGGATTTTTGACTTGTCACCGTCTTTTGGCGCGAAAGAATCGATGTAACCTTGAGCCAAGGCTTGAAGATCTCCCTTGACTGGAATGTAAGTGAGTCTCATGTACTCCTTGATTGGAATAAGCCTGATCTCTGCGGCTACAAGGAGTCCGAGCGTTCCTTGCGACCACGGGATTGCATAGAAAAGATCGGAATACTCATTATCCCTTGTGGCACGGACAAGTTCCCCACCAGCTAGAACGATCTCATAAGCCTCGACGGTATCTGCGAACAAACCATAGATGTGAGAGCTTCCTTCAATACCATATCCATTGATGAGTCCACCAACCGTGAGGTCATCAAGCTCAGCAACAACAGCGAGAGCCAGGTTCATTGGGCAAGTGACACGAGAAATCTGTCCCATGTTGACAAGAGGCTCCACTCTAGCAATCATCTTCTCCTTGTTGACCTCAAGAACGTTACGGAACTCTCCCAAGTCAACCTCGAAATGCCGGGCTCTCTTGTAGTCAACGTTCCTCATTCCCACAGCGATCCAAGGCTTACGCGCAGTGCAGACCAGCCCGTCCTTGGCCGCGTCCCTATCCTTAAGCCTTTTGATGACTTTCTTCACATTCTCGTCATGCTCCTTCTGGCGTTTCTCAAAGGACTTGGACTCCGACCAGATGTCCCCGAGGTAGATGAGGAAGTAGAGTGTGGCTGAGAAGGGAAGGACGATGAAGATGACAATGATCCATCTGAACTTGACAAAGTAATCAACCCATGTCTTCTTCCTCTTCGGCCTCACAAGTGGTGTCTGAAGATCCGACATGTTGCCGACACTTTGAGATTCCTCTCCTCACTGCATCAAAACAAAAACAAACAAAATGCTGTAAGAACAAGTACACAAAAGATGCTCAAACTTTGAGAATTTTAAATCCATCATTGTACAACTCAACAAGGCTCAAGAGAAATGTTCTTAACACCACCAGAATGACAAAAAATATAGATCAAAGTCAACGAAACTTGGGAGCTGCAAACCAATCACTGAAAAAATCAAGGTGGCTCAAGAGATGAGCATAAACATACCAGAATGTGAAAAATGATTAGTTTCTTAAATCCATAAACAAGCATACATTTATATACATCACCGTGTGTGTGTGTGTATGCAAATAAATATGGAAAGTGTGGACTCCATGGGGGAGCTAGTAAACAGAAAGACAAAGAGACATCATGAAGTTATGTTGTTCTGTAACTATCAGTTGTAGGAGACCAAAGTTATACACACACATATTGAAAGGACAAAGAAACATAAAAGAACTGGATTTGGTTCTAATCCATAGATCTACATATCTAGTCTTCCTACAAAGCCATCAAACACAGTATGTCTGCTTTTTTTTTTTGCACCCCAAAAAGAAAATTATGAAACTTGTGCTTGAAATTCAAAGAGTGAGTTGGTTAAGACTCCAAACCCACATAGTTCACTGGTAGTATGTAGCAACTATGGACCAAACAGTTCAAGAGATCTAAGGACACAAAAGATAAATCAGCGACTGAGAAAGACACAGAGAGAGGTAGTGAGAGTACCTGAAGAATCCAAGGGCGAGGGAGAGAGAGGATGAGATGTGGAAGTGTCTGATGAGTGAGAGAGAGAGAGGATTGTCTTATAAATATAAACGTAATTCAAGCCAGCCTGCTTTATTTTGCATTTATCGCACAAAACAAGGTGATTACCATTATTATTTCATTATATTTTTATAAAATATTAATTTAATCATTTCCAATGTATTCATAAAAATACATTAAATTAAAGTATCTTTTTGTTGGTTTTTTCTTTTTCTTTTGAATAGAAATATAAATATAATTAATATGTTGTAATAGCAATTGGATTTAAAAATGATATCTTAATTAGTATTAAAGGAATATAATTTCTTCAACATTGTACGTTGTTCCTAAAACAACATTTCCAACTCTTTTTGTACTTTTTAGTAGTAGAAACTCATCTTCATATATTAATTATAAAATTTATAAATTAAAAAGTTTACATTAGCAAGCAATTGCAGTTATGGAAGTAATCAACCAAAAACTGTTTATATGTTATTAGGATTAAAAAAAAAGTTAGGACAAATATCTTTGTATGGATGTTGCTCTGAAAAAGAGTCACTGCTATAAATAGGTAAAAGAGAATTAGAAAGGCAAAAAATCAAGCAGTTTCAATTTCTTTTAAAATATAGGAAACTTAAACCTTTGTTTAAAATTTAATATTTTCTTTTGGTATACGTTACAATAAAATTAAGAAGGTATTCAAACACTGCAAGACATGTGTCCAATCAAGAAAATTTATACGTTGCATAATATTGTATGTCAAATTTTTTTTTTCTTTTTTTTTTTTGTAAATGCATTTTTTAAGGTCTTGAATGGATTAAAATTTGTTTTCTAAATGCATATAGTGAAAAAGTGCTAAAGCATATGCCAATGCCATCTTCAATGAAAACTAGCCTATCCTATATTTTGTTTATTGGCAACATGTTTTATTAATACAACTTTTCATATCATAATTTATGATGAACACATCTCAAACATTTCGTTTTGATATTTTCTACTGGTGACAATGGTGGATATGTCATGATTTGAGCAAGAAAAAAAAAAAAAACACTGCCTAAAAACTACATTATCAGAAAAAACATGTAAAGATTTCTTTCAATTAGGATTGAGAGCTACTTATTTCTTTCTCTAATGGGATGTTCAAATCTGTTCACATATGTATTACACTTCACAAAATAATTGTGGGTTGATTATATATTGATCAAAATATCAAAGGAATCTGCAACACAATAACAAGGTCCATTTTTATTTTCATCAGAGTTAAACTATAATTATTATTTTTGTAGGTACAATTATTTATAAGTACACCTACATAATAATAGATGATAAAAGAAAAAGAAGCTTACATCATGTTATTTGGTGAGAAAGCTCTCTCTCTATATATAAAAATACTACTATATAACCAATGATTTCCTCTCACGATCTGCTAAAGTTGATTTAGTAAATAGAATAAGAGATATTCACATGAACTTTAAGTTGATAAAATCATGATTTTTTTTTATATATAAAATGGTTACACTTTAAAGTACTCAATTGTTCACAAAGTTTTTTTTTTTTTTCTTGTCACCAAATAACTAATTATTAATTTGAAATAATTTGTTTTTTAAGTGTTTACAGGGATGATGGCCTGTTTGAGAATGACATCCAGCTCTTGCAAAAATCTCAAAATCTATATTATTCAGTTTATACTTTTGAGAAGCAGAAACTATATATTTTGGGTCGAATATTGAAAATATGGCTAATCAAAAATTGGTATCGCATCAAGTGGAAGCCAATCATCCAATTTTGTTTTGAGAATTTTTGAGAAATACCCCTTTTGGTGTACCCCTTTTTAAATATACCCTTCTTTTTTATCCATTTTCAAAAATACCCTTTTCAAATATGAAAAATTATAAACTTTTATATGGTTAATAAGGTTTATGAAGATCATCATTATTACTGGGAAACTAAATCCAAATATTTATAATGTTTTAAAAGGTTCTAAACGACATTTATAAGGTTTTTATAAGGTTTCTAAAAGATTTACACAGTTTTTATAAGGTTTTTAAAAGATTTTTAAAAGGTTTTTAAAAGGTATTTATACGGTATTTATGAAATACATATATAAATTTACACACATATAAAGATAATTTGTGTCTAGAAATATAAGCTTACACATATGTTTTTAATAAATTTTAAATTTTATAGTGACTTTTTGATAAAATTAGAAAGATGGGTATTTTTAAAAAGTGGTATTGGAAAAGGGGTATTTTTGAAATTCCCCCTTTTGTTTTTATGTTTTGTGAATTATTGGTCTAAAACAACAAATACTTATATATATATATATATATATCCAATACAGAAAGAACATTACTGTTTGGTCCAAACGAAAATAACATAAAAACCGTCTTTGTCTATTCCTTAACTTTTTCTGTAATTCGTAGCTCAATAATATATAAACAAGTATGAAGAACCAGTGTAAATAAATATATGATATAAGTTGTGATTTATGAAATATTGGAACCCATAATAAATGGCTAAACACTTATATTTTTAGGTTATGTTCTCCTTTTTCCCTTTGAATATTGCAAGATTCAATAAAGAAAACAAATACAATTCGTTTTTTCAAACAGTAATAACAATTACTATGCAAAATATTTTATGTTACTGTAGTATGTAATAGTGACCAAAAAAAATGGAGAAAGAAAAGGACAAAAGAGAACGGAGAAACCAAAGAAAGAGAGTTGAAGTTTGAAAGACAGCATAATAATAATAATAAAACTATCTAATCTAATTCTTCCTTTTATAAACGAGGACTGTCCACCTCCACATGTGCCTGACGTGATCTCAACTCCTTCACGTGATTTTTCGCCCCCCTCTCTCGTTTTTTTTCTTTAATAAAAATTCTTAATATGATAATATCTTTATTTTTTACTACCTTCCCTTTTATATTATTATTATTTTCTGCACTTCCTGTTTTAATACTTTTTTTTTTCTGAAGAGTGGGGAAAAAATCTCATTATTTTAATGTACCCACGATTGCATAAGTTTAGATCTAAATCTCCCCTCTTAACGTGCGATTAAGTGATACATCTGGAACACGTTAAACTCTCTAGGTTGCATTCATTCGTGTTTAACATTATATATATAAACCCATGATTTGAGCAATAACAATCAATTATTCCACTTTTAACATATCTTTTGGTTTTCCAACTTTTCCTGACTTTCCGTTAGACAATATATATTCTGTTAATGTTATCCTACTCTTTATCAATTTAAACGGAAACATGTTACTTCAGCATCGAAAGATATAAGGCGTCTCCTCAACAAATATAACCATGACACGGAGACTTCTTTCCTCCTTTGGCTTGGTTTAAAAGCCCTGCCATATACACATAGACCATAAGTATTATTTCCAACATGTGTAGCAGCAACAAGATTCCTAAATTGATCCTAGAGTGAAAGGTGTTATACTGCAGATAGTTCACAGTTTGTTAAATTATTGTAAATACTATACACCAAAACAACACACAATAAAAAGAAAGATTCATTCGTAGCTATGGGCCTATAGTGTGTATTGAACTGTGTTCCCTACGTTGCGGGTTGTAAAATGCTATTTTAAACCAAATAAAGCAACTAGTCTAATCTAATATCTTCTCTTAACGACCTGGGATCATAAAGATGAATAGATTGGGAAGAAAAGAGATTCGCTATTTGATAGCCATGAAGAACTATAAGATCTTCCTAACATGATCTAGCAAAATGCAAAGTTTAAAAGCCAAGAAACCAGCAAAAACGAAACAAACCGAAGATGAATAATGTACCTTGTCTTTAGACTATGCGCATCGATATCCCCGTTGACTTTCTGTTGCTCCTCCAGAACACCATACCATGGCAGAATATTACAGTTGATGTATCCAACAACTGGGACAAAATCTAGAAGAAGGGAAAGAAAAAGCTAAGTGGAGAAATCATTACTACTTCCAAGTGTAAACTTCCCCACCAATAATTCCCAGAACACTTTTCTAAAGCCTACAAGTTGGTGGCTGCTAAGGTATCTTCGTGCTATGTGTAAGGGGAATCCTTGCAGAAAAAATAATCTTTATTTGAACAGAGAATATTTTTTCTCATTTACTATAACAAACCATTGGTATACACGTTGATTCACAGTTGTAAGAGATTGGGTGAAATGGACCCTAAAACTTTGTGCCGCCAATAAGCGCCCCTCTTCCACATGCATACAACAGCATTAGAATGTAACACAAAACTGTGACCTCGTTATAAGCCATCTCTAAGGCCGAGAAGAGAAAATTATGGTACCTGCCAATAGAAAAGAGGCTTTGGTCAGTCAATCAACAATGGGACACTAATAAATGCAAACTTCAGAACAAGATTTTGTCACTATAAATAGAAGACTCGCCATACCATTGCACAATCTTTACAAAACACCACACTGGTTTTTGCGTTTCTACTGTAAACAGAAATGCCAGGTTCTCAGAATCGTTGCAGTTACAGAAACTTTGGTTCATCATTTTCAACTTACATAGTTTTATTTTATCTAACTGACAACTCATTTTCGAGAAAAGATTCCAAAACAGAAACTACGCCCAGCATAATTCCAGCGAAAATAAATACAGTAATTCCAGAAAAGATTGCAAGGCTGGTTCTCAACTATACGCAGAGATTCCATATATTCGACTGATAGTGGCAGCTATAGGCATAACTTACAAATTTTGCATTTCTGGGTTCACAGACTTACTTTGGCAAATGAAATCGCTAGTGAACTACAACACCATGTTACGGGTTGAAGAAACTTGAGCCGCCCATGTTGATAGCAACGAGTGCCAGTACAGAAGTGATTACACTGAACCACAACAATGCTAATCCTGAAATTAGAAAGCTTGATAGTTTTAGAACAAGCAACCATAGAAACAAAAATCATCATAAGACAGAGCCTCCATATACCTCCATCACCAATAGAACCTCTATCGGAACTCGCAGTGTTCACTTCTAAATCTGATATATTGGCATTCCCAGGATCCTTCGGTTGAGATTTTGGATCCGCCCCAGCCTTTGAAGGAACTGGTGTCACGATTGATTCACCGTCATCAAGTTTATTGTTCCCAGATTCTGATGAAACTATGCCTTGAAATTCCTCACTCAAAATCAATGCAGACAGCACATTCATAAATGACTCTTGACTAATATCATCAGAAGGAATCTTGTCATTCTGCACGAATGAGCTAGGTTCTTCCGAATCAGACATTTCATCATCAGAAGCATCTGCATAAGTGACTTTTGCATTGCGTTTATCATCTTCTTCATCCTCCACATATGCTTTGTATGTAAGCCGGAGTAGTATATCTCCAGCAGATCCCTTTCCGAACAAACTCCATCCGCCTCGCAAACTAACAATTTTGTCTGTAGGAACCGTATCTGGCAGTGATTCAAGGTCCACCTGGATGTATAATAAAGTAATAAGGTTATGTAGATAGCAAATCCGATTCATCATTTCCTGTTAATTTGTGTAGAGTCTCATATTTATAGGTAAGCAATAGTGACAAAGTATCAGAGGAGAGGCTGACTACTCAAAACTACAGCATCAATATATAACTATGTGTTGACAAGTTTTTCTGCAGAAAACATGTGAATTGGTTGCATAGAAGCCGGAACTGGAAAAGTGCCACGAACAGCTATGTGAATAAAGGTGCACTTTCTATACTAACAAGAAGATCAATAACCGATAGGGTGCGTAACCTGAACAATGAGACACAATCTTTTCAAAAGAGGTGTGTCATACTCAGTATAATATCAGGTACGACTAATACAGCAAAGGCACTGTCAATTTGTTATTGCGGCAACTAGTTGTTCACCCACTGTTCTTCTAACAGCAAGCTGCTATCTATCAGCATCGGTGATACTTTTCAGTCTTATCTTCTTGATTCAAAGAATTGAGATGTTGTGCGGGAGAATAACAGGTTGAAATTGGGTTCTTATATTATGAATAACAAACATGAAAAAGCTAGGCACTGAAGTAGATGACCATCATCTTACGAAAACATTTCTGATAACATATTAAGCCATTCTTTTGCAGATTATAAATAGAATAAAAAGAAAGAGGATTTACCTCTCCGTTACCAATAGCCATATCGGCAAATCCAAGACAGTCGTTAACTTCAATTTGTAATACTTGCTCTCTAGGATTTGAAACAAGGAATTGGAAATCCTGATCATATTAATGACACAGATATATTCCATAAAAGATTAGCAATTTAACAAATACTAATTGACCACCATATTATGAATATGCCACTAAGATATAGGCAGTTCAACCTGATTCCAGATTGGCTGACCAGGAGCCCCAATCACTGTAGTTTGACTGTTCTTTTTACTGCGGATAACTTGATCACCTATTCGTAGAATAACATATGGATCTGTTCTACCTGTTACATCAAACAAAATGTGCTGAATGATGGATTATTTAAAGTGACAAAGGATTCACTAAATGTGATATAAGCATTAGTATATCCGATTTCTAATGCTCAACGAATTTGAATGAACTTAACGGTATATATACACAATACAACAACACAGACTGCTAGAGACCAATTGAGGAGGAAGAAAGCTGTGGAATGAGTATAACTTACCAGAGAACATGTATGGAAGTTTTTGGGCATTTACAAGAGTAACAGAAAGTTCCCCAACAAAATCCTTGTTCCCTTCCTGCATTTCTCCAGACTTTGAGTCTTCTGAAACAGGGCCAACAGCTTTTCCTTTCTGGAAATCCAAGACAATTTTCTTTGGGCGGACAAATAATCGAGGCAAATCTTCTGTCAGCAGTTTGGTCAAGAACCTGAGAGAAATGAAGCAATGTAAGGAGGAAGGAAACTGATCTATCCAAACATCAAGGAAGATAAACAATCAGCATATGGAAAATGCTCAAATGCATACCAGTCTCTGATCAAAATTATGCAGATTGCAACTTAATGTCTATGCTCCCAAAAATCACAGGAAAAAAAAACATATAGCTAAAAGAAGTTACTAAACTCCTCTCTACAACTTTAAACCTCATTTGAACAGGGAACAACTTATCAACTATAAAGCGCTAAACAAATCCAGTATTAAACCATTGACTGAAAAAGAACAGTAAAGTTTAGCAAGACTTACATTGATAGAACAGGAATTCCTGATGCCATCATCCAAAGCATTCATGCAAAAAGAAGAAAATGATATGAGCAAAGTAATACTGTAAATCATCGTCAAATTAGAGGAGATGCCCTTCCACATTATTCAGGCATAGTTATAAGTATAATGATACATGTATTATGATTAACTCATACCCATTAGATTAAATAGTCGGAATGGTGCAAGCTCAAATTTGATCTTTGGAAGTGATACAAAAGCCCATGATGCTGCTCCAACCCAAGGCGCAGAGGGAATCAGTCTTAATTTAACCCATAGCTCACCGTCAATGTCAAAATCCCGAATACCGACTGGCACGACTATTGGGATGATACCAAATTTTAAAGAGAGCATTAACAACATCCGCGCACCACCAGTATATCGAAGACCAATCTGGTACCTATATGGGACAAAAAATGAGAGCATAAGCAACCTTCAACCGAACCGTGAACAGAATGGAAGTATCCAAGCTTTAAACGAACCAACAGAGAGAACAATTCCAAGATGCAGTGAACAGTGATGTATTGCATCAGTTTGATTCATGCCTTAAAAAGTCACTGACGTCAAAACTTACTATACTCTTGAATCAATATTCTTTTGAAAAAAACGAATGTAAAATAAAACTCATCAGAAACTTCGGTGGTCGGCAAACAACAACAACTGAAAGCAAGTAAGAACGATTCCACCATTTGATCCACTAACACAAAGGTATAGTTACATAGCATAAATCATAGGCAATAGCAGCAAGGTATAAACTTACTGTAAGTCATTGACACGGCGGGATGTCCTCCTCTCAACATTTCTAACAGACAAAGGCTCATCCCCAAGAGAGAATTGCTTTATTTCAACCCTTTGCACGTAATCTGGCTTCTTCAAGTCATCAATAACTGGCTGCAACAATCCAACAAGCCAATTCTCAATCCCACCTCTATAAACTTTCCAGAGCTTTACCAACACCATATTAACCCACTCCACCGACTCTTTCCTTTGCAAATCCTTCTCAAGGGACAGCGCAAAGCTAGTGGGAACCTGTGCCCATGGCCCGGCTCCTCTTTGGCCTCCGTCACTGCTCATTTGCCTCCGCCTCTTTCTCCAGGTCCATAGCTTGTCACAAATAACACCAACAAAGAAGAAGAAGGCGAACAAACCAATGGCATTACGACTAATCGGTGGCGTGGGGATTGGATGGATTACACCTAGCTGAGTCCTGAGCTTATCCACAATCGGGTCTTCTCTAAAGTTAGTGAAATTGCTTCGGTCACCTTGAATTACAGACTCCTGCGAAGACGACGATACATCTTCATCCTCGAATTCATTTGAAAATCGAGTAACCACGAGACTTCTCGCAGTTCTTCTCGCAGAATCCGCTAATCCTATGTTCTTCGCATCACTACTACGAATCCCGCTGGAAACAAACCTCAAATTCGAATTCGAATTCGCATTAGCCGCATGGACTCTAAAATTCCGACGGAGAAGCCGCCTCCTCGCGAAGCCATCGCAGAACACAATCAGGCCGTGCTCATTGGAGCAGGGACAAAGCATACGACGAGACACATAAGCGTGGGACAAATCGAAACTAGGACAAGAAGAAGAAGATTGTAGAATCATTTATCAATCGTATTCACCGGAAACTCCACGCAGGTGAACCTAATTGACGCATCTCTCCGCGGTTAACACAGCCAGAACACAAAATAGCAACGAATGTCTCACAGCAACGTGAACACTGAACACTGAACACAGCACGGTAGCAGCGAAATCAGTGACTCCCTTAGGGATTAGGATAAGAAATTCGAATCGAGAAGGTTCAGAAAGAATAACGACAACAAGATTGGAGAATGCAGTGATCGGTGGAGAGTCTATCGTGCCCTTTGTTTTTGTACCTATGCGAACCAGAAGAATGTGCGACTATTAAAGGACCTCTCAGTTCAACTCATTTTATGTGGAACGCGTTATAGGCGCGTTATTAAAATAAAATTGCATTCCCTTTTCTTATTGCTAAATAAAAAAACTATACATATATGGTTGGTCATTCATAATTTTGGTATTTCGTTTATAGTATCACTTCAATACGTTAGACAATCTTTTAGGAATCTCGTCTTGGTATCTTGAGAGGTCGGCGACCTAACCTAGTTTCGTAATACTTTGCTTTTTTTGGACTCTTCCACATTTTGGGTCGGAGTCGGCGGCACTCGGCCACAATTTTATGTCCCGAAACAAAATATATACGAAGAAAATGGCTTTAAGAGCAATTCAGCTAATGAATGGCCCAGATTAGTCCGACCATAGCTTGTGGTAGTGTGAATACATGTTATCAGTCAAAATAAAAAAAAGATTGAAAGATACGGTTTAATAAATAAAACTTGTGATGTTGAAATGGATTGTTGCTAATTTTTTGAAAATTTGGTTAAGTTTCTTTTAATATATACTTTCAGAATCATTTGCAAAAAAAAAAAAAAATCAGTTCTATTATTCTATCGTTTTTGTTAACATGTATAATTGTATAATGACGTAATTATATTTTCTAATCCGATTATGTAAAAAATTTACTAATAAAAAAATGTCTTAAGAAAATGAAATAACATCAGAATTTGTGTTTTCGCCTCCAATATACAAAAAGAACAAATTTTGTAAAAAAAAGTAGGTATATAAGTGTTTATTACACTTTGTCAGTTTGCAAAAATATATCCAATCAACATAATTTTTAAAATGATTTCATTTTGCAAATTTTTATTTTATCTATTTTTTAATGCAATTTATATTATTATGCAGTTATGAATCAGAATCATAGTTCATAAAAGAAATGTACATGCAAAAACCACGTTTATTAAGTGTTGTTTTCTTTTGTTGGACTATCAATAACTATTGTCATTGCAATAATCACGCTCAGTCAACTTTCAATTTTTATTTAGTTTGATTGTTTGAATAGGGTATACACTTTTTGAATTATAAACATTAACAACGTGCGTACGTACAAAAACATTTTTTTTTTTTTTGTCATCATACGTACAAAAACATAATGTTTTCTTTTACGAAATCGACAATGGGGTTGGCTAAATCAAAGATAAAAATATGGGGTTTCAGAAATTGATCTTAAAATATAGTGACTAATCTGGTAAATAATTAGACACACCCATCCTTTTTCCGACGGAGCGTAATCTCAGCCGTCCATCGTTTCAATCATCCTACGATCTATCTATACCGTCGGCTGAAGTACGTTCTCCTGAATCGGGGTCATCGACTTCTGATTCCTCCACACTGTAGTTTTTTCCCCTAAACCCTAACTTCTTCTCGGCGACTGTTACTTGATACCGCTACATATTTACTCCGATGCAAGGGGATAATACAACTGCGCCACCGTATACGACGACGGCATCTACGGGACAGGGTATCTCCGTCCGTCCTCCTCCAAGTGGTCCAGTCTTGGCTACTGCTTCGAGTGTCTCTCCAAGAAGTCAATCGGAGCTTAAGGAGCAATCCTCTATGTCTGTATGTTATTCATGCTCATGTCTTAAGTCTTCCGCTTCTGATCCTTGCATAATTTCTTCATTTTGAGTGCTGCTTAACTTCTCAAGAGGCTTTATGTTGGTTCCAGTTCCTGAATTTGATATGCTTTTCTGTAGAATATAGTACAATAACGTGTGGTGTCCTGAATTGCAAGGATTCCTTATGATTAGATCATCTGTTTAGATGAATGTATGTTTTGCATAGAGTATATTAGCGTACATCAGCTATGATTAATCCGTCTCTCTGATTGGATATCGCATTTTCGGGTCTTTCTGATTAAATTCACTTATAGAATTTGTCATGATTCAAATTTTGTTTGGTATATGCTTTGAGCACATGCTGATTTATCTGTTTTCAGGTCGTTTCCTTTTAGTCTCTAAACTGGTTCCATAATGTATATTGTTGCTGTTGTGCAGAGTGCCAATACAGGTTTTGTCTCTCAGTCAGTTCCGTCATCTGTTCCTGCACAATGGAGTTCTAACGCAGCAGCCTCCTCAAATGTTAATCCTATAACTCAAGCTTCGCCCATGCTACAAATTCCGCCCTTTGGTCGACCAGGACCATTCGCCCCACCTGGACTCATGACATCTCCGCCTGCTTTTCCTGGTTCCAACCCTTTTTCTACAACTCCAAGACCTGGGATGTCTGCAGGTCCCGCGCAAATCAACCCTGGTATTCATCCACACATGTATCCTCCATACCACTCACATCACAATGTGCCTGGCATGCCTCAAGGAATGTGGTTGCAGCCTCCTCCTATGGGTGGTATTCCCAGGGCACCATTTCTCTCACATCCGACTCCCTTTCCTGGCTCATATCCATTTCCAGTTCGGGGAGTGTCCCCTAACCTACCATATTCTGTCTCTCAACCTCTTGGTGCCATTCCTCTGGGAACTGTTGGCAATGTTCATGCATTACCAGGTCATCAGCTTGATATATCTCCCGCCCAAAAGACAGAAGCACTCTCAGGAATCGGTATGCTCGAGGTTTCATGATAGATTACTGATCCATGTAAGAGCTGTTTGACCTTAATGGTTATTCTATTTAGTTTACAGACTCTTTATCGGGATCATCTTGTTTTCTGCAGATGACAGAGCTGGGACTCAACCAGTAGGAAATCGGTTGGATGCCTGGACTGCACATAAGTCAGAAACAGGAGTTGTTTACTATTATAATTCCGTGACAGGGCAATCGACCTATGAAAAGCCTCCTGGTTTTGGAGGGGAGGTGAGTTTAGCTGATTACATGGCTTGTTCATTAGTTGAGACTGTCTATTCCATACGCATTTTGTAAATATGGTTTGCTTGCCGTTTGATGCCACTACAAAAACTGATGAGGATATTTGTCTGCGTATACCTTGATAAAACATGCACATTATCTTCGTGTTGCCCTAGTCCTTTTAGAATTTTTAAGTGATTTATTATTTATACTTTATCTCTTAACTTTTGCAGCCTGATAAAGTGTCGGTGCAGCCAATTCCTGTTTCTATGTGAGTTCTTAGATTTAGACTTCCTCTGATGAAAAATTTGTTGTCATATTTTTTAACGATAGCTTGGTTCTGTGAGACATTATATTATGTGATATCTTGTGTATGAATCTTGTACTAGGTCGCTAACTAATCCATTCCCATGAAATCAAGAAATTTATGTTTACTTCAATCATTTTCAGCCTGCTAAACTATGCACAGCTTATACATATCTTATCTAATTTGTACCAAATGTAGGGAGAATTTACCTGGGACAGATTGGGCTCTTGTGTCCACAAATGACGGAAAAAAGTATTACTATAACAATAAAACAAAGGTTAGCAGCTGGCAAATTCCAGCAGAGGTGAAAGATTTGGTGAAGAAACCGGAGGAGAGGGCCATGGAAAGTTTAGCGTCTGTGCCAAGTTCTGATTTAACTGAAAAGGGCTCTGATCAACTAAGTTTGAGCGCACCTGCTATTAGCAATGGAGGCCGGGATGCTGCATCTCTAAAAACTTCAAATTTTGGTTCTTCTGCACTAGATTTGGTTAAAAAGAAACTACATGATTCTGGAGTGCCTGTCTCATCTACGACAACATCTGAAGCAAATGGTGGTAAATCAATTGAGACGCCATGTGGAGAAAGTGGAAACGGTACGGGTAAGGTAAAAGATGCTCCTGAAGCTGGTAACCTTTCTGATTCTTCTTCAGATTCCGAAGATGAAGATAGTGGACCATCAAAGGAAGAGTGTTTCAAACAGTTTAAGGTATTGTGTAGTCTGAACCTGTGAATAGTTCTTGTGGTAGTGTTTTTTGTCTGGTATAGATATCTTTTCTCACGTTTTTCTTTCTGGAAGTTAAATTATCTATACAGAAGCATCTGACTTAAAGCGTTTTAGAGAAGAAGAGAATACCTTGCAGTGAAATTTTTCTCTGTAGATGGATCTTGTTAAAATATTGGAATGTCATACTCATTTCCATGTTTTAAGCATTGAATTCCTCTGTATATGGATTTTGTTTGAATATTAGATTGTCGTAATGCTTTGCATGTTCAAGTATCGTTAATAATGGTGCAACTCCTAGTGGTAGTTTTCAAGTATGGAAAACTTGAAATTATTCAGATTGAAATTTATTTTCTAATCTCGTATTTCTTATAACTGTATCCTTGCAGGAAATGCTGAAAGAGAGAGGAATAGCACCGTTTTCTAAATGGGAGAAGGAATTGCCAAAAATTATCTTTGACCCTCGTTTTAAGGTCTGTCCAACCTAAACATCAGAAAATTTCTTGATATCTTAAACTGTTCTTAAATTATCTTTGACCCCGCTTTAAGGTATTTATTTGGAGAGTTCTTTTTTCTTTCAGGCAATACCAAGTCATTCTGTTAGAAGATCTTTATTTGAGCAATACGTAAAGACACGCGCTGAGGAGGAACGTAGGGAAAAGCGTGCTGCTCATAAGGCAGCTATTGAAGGTTTTAGGCAGTTGCTGGATGAAGCGTCCACGGTAAATCATTTTAATGACCTGAATTTATTTATTTTTACTTTGAGCTACCTCATGTCCTTAAAAAACATTTTTGTTATTTGGTTTGGGATGTTCTCAATTTCTATATCTCTTATGGGAATTTATTATCATCCTGATTTTTCCAGGACATTGATCAGCACACTGATTATCGTGCTTTTAAAAAGAAATGGGGGAGTGATCTCCGGTTCGAAGCACTTGATCGGAAGGAGCGGGAGACTTTGTTGAATGAAAGGTACCCATCTATACCTTGCGATCATATTCTATGTATGTTGAAAAGTTTACGTATAGCCCTATATATTACACTGGATGTGTCTTTCCTTGTTCCTTTGGGCTGTTTTGGTTTTAGACATGGATTCCTTCTCTAGTCATTGCTTTTTATGTTCGCTTTGACTAGTTTGCTAGATGTGTGACCGGTTCATACTGAGTGCTCACAGATAATCCTGGGTTTGTTTGTGTTCAAACCAAAAAAGTAGGCTAGTTAGATGTTTGATTGTGCAGGCAGCCATGTTTAATATCCCTCACACTTCATTTTACAGGCGACTTGTAGTTCTACTTATGTATTCTATTTATCACAGTTTTTGTGTTAGTAAACCATCATTTTACAAACTCAATGTTTCTAAAAAGACATTTTTACTTTTTAAGTGTAATTGTACATAACTGCAGTGGATCTTTTTCGGAAAGTTTTCCCAGTACAATTGACATGCCCTTTATGATTTTTTCGTCATGTGGGGTTTTAAGTGTCTTATATATTCCCTGTTTCTGTTGCAGAGTCCTTTCTTTGAAACGGGCTGCTCAACAAAAGGCGCAAGAAATTCGTGCAGCTGCTGCCTCTGATTTCAAGTCAATGCTACGTGAAAGAGAAGTACCAATAAATTTACAGTGGTCCAAGGTAGGTAGCATATTTGTTTCTACCCTTTGCGAACAAGAGAGATAAGAGTATGGAGAATCTGTTGCTTCTTACTCTTATATAATTCATCTTTAATTGGCACCTCTTTTAACTGGTTAGCGTATACTACGATAACATATATGATATTTTTCTCTCCTGTTTTGTTAGGTGAAAGATAGCCTGAGAAATGAACCAAGATATAGATCTGTTGCGCACGAGGACAGGGAGGTTTTTTATAATGAGTACATTGCTGAACTAAAAGATGCGCAAAGGGGAGATGATCATGAGATGAAAGCCAGAGACGAAGAGGTAATACAAAATTATTTACAGATACAAAACATCTGGATCTCTTTTATTTCGGTTTCTGGAATCCGACATAAAAATGATGGTTTTCTGGCCATAAATGTGGGAAACTAAATAAGACAAATTTAAACGCCTTTGTGGTTCCTGAATTTGGGTTCAGGACAAACTTAGAGAACGGGAGCGTGAGATGCGAAAACGCAAAGAAAGAGAAGTGCAAGAGGTGGAAAGAGTACGACAAAAAATCAGAAGGAAAGAGGCAAGCTCCTCTTATCAAGCTTTGTTAGTGGAGAAAATCAGAGATCCTGAGGTATTTCTGCTTCTTTTATCTAGCACGCTAAAGCTTTCATTTGAGCTAAAGATGCGGAGATAGAGTTAATTTGTAATTTCTTAACTCTTTGGGGATTCTGATTGGTCAATCTTTCTTTGCTACCTTCTTCAACATCTTAAGGCATCCTGGACGGAATCAAAGCCAAAACTTGAGAGGGATCCTCAAAAACGTGCCTCTAATCCAGATTTAGATCCTGCTGATAAAGAGAAGCTATTCCGAGATCACGTAAAGACATTATATGAGGTACTTGTACTACTCATCTGTAAACCTTATGGAATTAAACGCTCAGCGTTTGCTGCAATAAGATCAGAGCAACACTGAGAATCGGGAACCTTATTCGTCTTCAATCCTTTTTTGGTCAATTTTACTAGAGAAGTATACTTTGGTGGTTGCCTATTTCATCTAAATATTTGTTTTTTTGTGTGTTTCACAGCGATGTGTTCATGACTTTAAAGCTCTTCTAGCTGAAGCCTTGTCATCTGAAACTACTTCTCAACAAACAGAAGACGGAAAGACTGTGCTTAATTCTTGGTCAACAGCTAAACAAGTACTAAAACCCGATATCCGCTACAGCAAAATGCCGAGGAATGATAGGGAAGTCTTATGGCGCCGATATACTGAGGATATCTTGAGGAAACAGAAACAAGACAACTATCAGGAGGAGAAACAAAAAGATTACAAGACCTAAAACCCGTAGACCAAAAGGCTTTCCTGTCATGTTGGTTCTTTCCTGATTAAGTTTTGTTTTGACTAACTGAAAAAACAACATAGTTTGTTTAATTTTTCTGAACAGAATTGTGTTACTCAAAATAGATGATTTGTTAAGATCGTATAAGGTTTGTTTTTGCTTTGTCCCCAAAAATTAAGGTTTCGAGATGGAAAAAATATGGAGGAGATTCAAACACTTGCATTGAGAAACGTCAAGATTTTTACATAACAGTTTTTTTCTTTTCTCAAAATGATTGGAAATATCAATCAAACTGCTAAATATTAGTTAATCTAGAAAACCATATGATACTTATAATAATCACTTTTACTACGACTCGATCTACTAAGTGAAACATTTTTATTTTCGTGCCAGCAAAGAAACTAAGAATCTATATATAGTACGTTTTGGTAGATTGTACAAAGTGGGCATGTTAGGATATGACAATTTTGTGGTTTAATCTCAATATTCATGAATAAATCTCGTTTTCAAGAATATCAAATCTGGAGCTGGAGGGCATGTGACGTATATAGCCAAGAATATATTTTCTCCCGTGATTTTGATTTTTGAATTATTTTGTATACAAATGCTCAATGCTTGATTTTGAAAGGCCAACTTGTTGATTTAATAGTTCCTTTCGATCAGCAATTTTTTTTCCCCCGAGTACATGTATATATTATAGAACCGGAGAATCCAAGTTGAAGTTTACACCAATATTCGTTTTCTGTACTTTGTTATGCGAATTTTGCAGTGACTCATGGAAACTAAAACAAAAATTGATCTTACTTTCTTGATCCACTGGGCAATATCCCTCTAGAGTCTGATAGTAACCAATGGTTTACTCAAGTTGCAACACACATATATATATATCCATTTAATTATTTGCATCCACATGGACATAATTATATGCATCCTCAACACTCCAATATCTTTTGCATGAAATTTTTAAAAGCTTATGAATCATATACACGAGACGTGTTGTGTGATGATATAATAATATCAATCTATATCTAGAAATAAATAAATAAAAAAAAGAAGAAAAAATTGACGAGTGAACTATAGTTAATTAACAAAGCCTTGGAAAATTAGAGCTAGAATGTGTATGTCCATGTCTCACCAATCTTGACACTACTTCACTCTTCTTTTCCTTACAATGTTTTTCAGAATTAGTCCATAGCTTCTTCTCCAAATTCATCCTTAGATCATCTTCAAACTTCTCCGACATCTCAAACCCTTTCAAACTCACTAGTATTGGTTTCTCTTTTAAGTAGTTTCGAGAATTCCTCATCTTGTTCACTTTGATCTTGTCTTCTCTTGAGAGTGTTAGAGTACTCTCGTCTGATAATTGTTGAGACTTGAGTGCCAGAACTGCAATATTTGGAGGGATCTTGGGGTTTTTTGCAAGTTGTTTGCATGTCTCCAATGTTAGTTTCTTGTAGTTTAGACACCGACATAGTTTTGTTCTATCTTCGGATGATAGTTTTGGATGAGACTGCAAAAATTAATCAAAGTTAATTTTTAGTTAAGGACCTCAAAATATACACTAGATTGAAATAGCAAAGCGAGAGATTATTATTATATACATGGTATACTTAAAAAGCAAGCACACATTAGACTGAACATAACTAGTTTTCACGTGAAACTAATCTTGTTCTTAGTGTTTATAAACTAATTATTTAGTCAAACAAAAGACAGAGAAGATAGTCAGATTCTGACATGAATGTGCTGTAACCAGGACAATATATAACACAGTGAGTATTACACAATATATAACACATAAAATTTTCAATGTTATTGTCAAACTCAAATGAACAGAACAATGGACAAAAAACAATTTTGTTTGTGTGTTTCTCTTCTTTTAATTCGAGTTTACAATTTTCAGTGAATATTTGATTTTCTAGTTTTAAAAGAGAAAATGTTCTAATCAGTAAAACAGAAGTCCAAATGTAAATGATTTGCGTTTGAAAGTTCCTATATAATTCCACTTTTAAAAGACAAAGTCACCACTAGTACTTCCACGTGTATGGATGTAGTCTATGAATGAATATATGCAATATCTAAAGATTATCGAATCTCTAGATATCACAAAATGAAAAGAAAGACAAAAAGATAAGTTAAGCTCTTTCATCTCTCTTGAGAAGTGTAAAAAGCCAAACCATATAGAAAGTTGTATGTTTCTTGTCATCTTATATTTCACTTCTACTTAGTTTCTTTCTTTTTGTCTCATTTTGTTCATAATCACTCTTTTTCCAAAATTTCTCATGAACGTGCAATAATTATTTGGAAAAACAAAGCCAAAAAAAAAAAACAAGAAAAGTCACTAAAAAATATTGACTAAAAAAACTGACCTCAAGATAGATATCAATGGCTCTGTATAATCCATCACACCAATCTCTAGCTGAATCTGGCAAACTCTCTGCCACTTCAAGAAACTTCGATACTTTAAAATTCTGGTCTGGAGATATCTCTCTCAGATACTTATCAATCAGCTTCCCAATTCTTCTCATTCTCAAATTCTGATCTTCTTCTGAGTTGCAGATTCTCACGAACACTTTGAGTAATCTTATCACCAAATCCACATCGTAAAACCCTTTTTCTCTTTTGCCTCCTGCAGGTATCAGAAGATCATCAAGTGTTGCTTCATCCAGCATTTCTCCTATAACATTCTCTAAACCGATTCTTGATTCTTTGCTGATGCTAAATCCCGATAAAACCCGAAGAACCCAAAAGATCTTCCTGCAGGAGAATGAGGCTTTCGCTGCGAAAATCACTCCTTGAACAGCTGTATCAACTAAACCTGCGTACTCAAGCTTGTTTATTGATTTGTTTTGGAGCTTTGTCTTGAGGTAGTGGAGGAGAAACCTTGTGAGTACCAAGCTGTTATTGTTCTTATCATAAGCTCCCAGGTTCTTTATTAGCTTTTCGATGATTCTTGGCCCGAGAATTGACATATCGTCGAACCACCACTCGTTGCTTGTTTTGCAAGAAAACGATCTCGAAGTAGACCGTTTGTCTGAATCAGACCTATTCTTTGCCGTATCGGGAGACTGAGATGAGGCTGAGGCAGAGGAAGACGGAGAGGATGAGGCAAATACATGACTCATGTCTGAATTCTGAGCGATTTTGGCTAAAACCCCGAAAACAAGCTTATCAACAAGACCGTAAGAATCTGCGTGCAGGAACACTTGCTCGCAGCTCTTGAGACACAAAAGAACGTCGTTCCATGACCAGTAGAACATTCCTTCAAGAAACTTCTCAGTTTGAAGCAAGAGATTGGAGGAACAGAGCTTCTCAGTCATCTCAAGGAAGGAAGAAGAGCAATACAAGATGGAGACATTTGAGACATCGATCGAGATTCCTCCACCATTACTGTAACAGAACCTTGAAACCAAGTCGAACCCATCTGACCCACCAGGAAAATCTTCAACCTCGACGATGATTCTACTGTTCTTGTGATTCTTCTTCTTCTTCTTGCTCTGTTTTATGATCTTCCTCAAGAAGCCTGAGTACTCTGAGATCAAATCCTGACCCCAAGAAACAGAGAGACAGCGTTATATAATCGAAACAAAGGAAGTACTTAGGTGTGAATTAGAGGGAGAGATTTGGTTTGGTTTGTTACCTGATTAAGGAAGAAAGTGAACTCATGATTGAGATTAATTTGAAGATCACAAAGAGGAGACATTGTATCAGCTTCTTTTGCATTTGAAGAAGATGAAACTTCTTGTGAGCTGTGAGTACCTTTCTTGTTCTTCTTACTTTGTGTTCTCCTTTTGGATTGTAGAGAGAAAAAGAGAGAGAGAGAGAGAGAGCAATAATAGTGATCACATGGAAATGGCTATTTATATATCTATTTTTTTGGGCGTCTTTATTTCAATAATCTAATATAGATTTTCTTTTTATCTGCATTTTTAATTCTCATATAAATATAAATTTATGCAGAATATATATATATATAATTTTGTATTGGTATTTTACCAAAAATATATTAAACTTATATTGATCCAGTGGACCAACATCTAACCCTAATAATACTCAAATAGAAGTAGAACATCTAAAAGAGGTGAAAATGTAAATAATTCAGTGTCGTTCCACTTTATGAATGTTTTCTTTCGAAAATTATAAATTGGTTGAGTGTACATTATTTCACTATGTTTATTTGTTTTTGTATGAACTTATAAGAATTGGACAGTCGAAATGTATATTAGTGCTAGCTATATATTAAAACGCTTACGATTTAAATATTTCAGTTTAGTAATTTATTTCGTTTCAATTAAGACAACTTAATTATATCTTTCGATTTGGTTGAAATGAACGAGAGTTACTATTTTTCATCAAAATTAAAGAACCTATCTTTTTTCTTTATCGTGTAACTAGGGTAGAACCGAACGTAAGATAAACTGCATTGACCGCATATATATATATATATATATTTTATGTTTGAAATACATAATATATAAATTTTGTATGCAGAGCACAAAACGATACATATGACGAGGCGTTGTCAGAGAATATATATATTTTTGGTTGACAGAACATAAAGGTTTGTTAGAGTTTAGCACTTTAGCTATTTAATTATCGAATCTAAGGGCATCTCCAAAGGGAGGTACTTAGTGAGTTTCATAAGTTTATTGTGGACAAAAAATAAATCAAAATTGAACAATTAAATAAAGAGGGAGCCTAAACTAAGGGGTTTTAGAAGTTGTGTTTAGGGATACTTAAAGACAAATGACAATTACTCATTGGTAAAAAATATATTCATCTCTTTCTTTTTCTGTAACTTTTTCTCCCTCTAACATTTTTATTAATGAAATGTTGTTAAGCATTCTTTTAGAAGTTCACAAGTGGAGGTGGTGTAAAGTATGTGCGTAGCTTATCGTAGGGGTTTGATAGACATTAGAAATCCAAAACTTGTCACTGTTTTCGGTCCAACTGCATGTATATTATTTTAAACAATTATTAAGTTTTAAACGTTTAATTAATCAGAGAGATTAGTCCAAAAAGTGTTGTAATACCAGAAAGAAAACAAGGTGCTTGCGGTTGCGGCACACTTGCAATGACCAGGTGCAATATTGATTCCTTTATGCTCTCGTTGCTCTGTGTGACACCAAAAATATTGAAATATAAATAAATATAGCAATTAGTGTGTCAGTAAAGAGACTAACAATATTATTATTATCGTAGTAGAATACAATTGCATCATCGCATGGCCGTTTTATTCGCATCAAAAACAAATAAGACTAATTAACATTAAGACATGTATACCCTACTTTATGTTATACATCTACTGGACACGAACTGATTATCAAATATATATATATATGAATATATCCAACACAGAAAATGATGCTTCATGAACTCTCACTTATGACTTGTCCATAGCTCAAGGACTATGCTACTACTCCAGTTGTATTATTATTATACTAATATTCTATATTTATATATGTTGTTTTTATTATATATATATATATATACACACGTATATATATGAGTGTGTCCCCTTTGTTTTTATGCGAATTATACAATATTCTCCCTTTCTTGGCTTTATATATATACCATAATTTTGTAAAATACCATTTTTCCAGAGTAATTGCTTCTCCTTTTTAATTTGGTGTTTTATATTATAAAACAGTTGCTTGCAAAGCTGGGAGTTTCACTTTCGTTGCATGTGAATGGGGTAGGGTTTTGGTGAGTATGACTCTTTACGTCTGTGCATAAAGTCGACTAATTGCCTTTTTCATCATTATCCAAAATCCACCCATGTATTTGACAACGATATTTATATTACTGTACATACATGAAACCATATATATATTTTGTTTGTTAAAATAAGATGATATATATATATATATATATATATATATATATATATATACAAACTCTCATGACTCTCTCAGCACACATAAAAGGGAATTAAGAGCTTTTTAGCGGATTTGATTCGTTTTTGGTCCTTTATCTTTGGAAAAAATCATATGGATCAAAAGTTCAACATTTCTCTTAGTCATTGAATTTTAGTATAGTTTAATAACATTAACTGTATATGTTTATAAAAATATAATAAACGAACAGATTGAACCGGTCTAAATCCCTTATTGGTTTGGGTTGCGTTGGAATAATCCGTCCATTTAACCACTCTCAAGTCTCAATACACATGCATTACTACAAATACAAACATATTTGATTACGACTTACATAATTTTAGTAAATTGTGTTACTAAATCGAGCTGAAAGCGAATTGTGCTAAACCCAATCAAAGCTCAGCCGATGTACAAATATAGTTTGTATGGTTCAAGTGTTTTAAAACGGGGAAAAACCGAATAGACCAAACCATATGACTCAGTTGACAAGGCCCATGAAAATTAATAGACGGTCCATCTAATTGTTGTGGGCTTTGTTTAGAATAATTTCACGACATAACTGATATTTGTTTACGAATACATACTCTTTGTTTTATAGTGTTGTTGACTGTTGAAGAAGAAGAAACACTAAACAAAATATTTCATAGGGTGTGTTGAACATACAAAAATTCGTGTTAAGAATTCACTTATTAAAGGTGTGTATTGTTGATCATTAGTGTATCGATAATTTTCAACAATATTGCTCATCTTTATTGATTTCTCGAATATTCGATCTTCCTCGATCTCCCTTTCAATTAAATTTGTGTCAAATTCATAACTTTGACAGAGTTTACTATAGTCGCTGGTTCAAGTCTAGTGTCTCTTTCAGAAATCACAACATGTAACACTAGTTTGCAATTGTAATCTATTTGGGCTTCCAAAACTGAATCATATATATGGACTTCTTCTGTAAAATTATAAAATTGAATACTGCAAGGAAAACAAAACAAAACAATGAGGGCCTGTTTTTGATAAATGAAAATAATATTGGAGGGAATTAAAAAAAAAAAAAAAACAAATCCAGCTTTTTTTTTGTTTGTTTGTTTTTAGGATTAGGAAGAATGAAATTAAAATTTTGATTAAAATAATTGGAGCAAAAGTGGGATAAGAGAAAAAATGGCATTAATGCTTCTTCTTCTTCTTCTTCTTCTTCTTCTATGTGAGCAAGGCTAGATAGAACGAGAGAGAATCTTTCTTCGCCGAGCCTTTGTCTTCCCCCTAGCTCATCGAATCTCGCCGTCGCCGTCGATTTGTCACGCCGGTGAGTTTTCACAATCTCTTCTTTTTAATTTATTCAATAGAGATCTTTCCTGAATTGACCCCAATTCATCGTCCTCCTTAGGGTTTCGATCATAATCTAGCTAGATGCTTCGTTTAATCTTAAAGGAATTATTTTGAATTGAGGGTTTGAACTTAGCTCTAGTTTGTGAAAGTGTTGTTAGTTCGTCTGGTAAAATCTCTGATGGACAATTTAAGATTCCTTTTCGTTCTGTTCTTCACAAAAAAAAAGGTTCTAGTATCATTTTTGTAGATGTTAAATTTTTGATTTTTGATTGATGTTATTGCCATTCTGGGATTAGCTCACTAGACAATTTCTTTGCATTTAGTGCATCTGAAATATCTGCAGACTTCATGATGCAAAGTTTACAATAAGTAGATTTTGCTGAAGGATTTCTATCGTTAGAAGTGAGAACTTACTTGAAGGGCTTAGTTAGGATTCTTACGGTAAAAATAAGATATGTTAAGTAGAGCTGAGATCATATAAGGCCCCTGACTATAGACTCGATGAGAATCAGTTATGTAGACCAAGGCTCAGTTGTGGTCATGTCGCTTTTAGTCTGCTTCTATGGTGCATGTGTATTCTAAGAGCGAAGTTGAAATATGGCGTTCTGAGTTTATTCGATGTTTTGCAGTTTGCATAAGGGGAGGGGAGGTCATGGATGTTTCTGCTAGGAAGTCACAAAAGGCAGGCCGCGAAAAGTTGAGGAGGGAAAAACTGAATGAGCATTTTGTTGAACTGGGGAATGTACTCGGTAAAAACTTTATGCTTATTTGGATTTTAATAATATCTGATGATTCACTTCCATCCTCACATGTCTCTTCTGTTTGCAGATCCAGAGAGACCCAAGAACGACAAAGCAACAATTCTGACTGATACTGTTCAGTTGCTGAAAGAGCTCACGTCTGAAGTCAACAAACTGAAATCTGAGTACACAGCATTGACAGATGAGTCACGCGAGGTTCATATCTTATTCCTTACTCTCTAGGTTTTTGTTACAGAAACAATTAGCAGTCTACAACTCTACATGCTGTAAAGATATAAAATTTACATGTGCTCTGTCTTTTATGATATGGACACTATATCTAAGTCATAAATTGCCAACTCCACAGGGTATGTAACTGCTTATAGAACCTGTTTTTATCATCAATAACAGTACTTAAACTTTGCTGGTACTTTTATAACAACGGTTCTTTTTGTAGTTGACACAGGAGAAAAACGACCTGAGAGAAGAAAAGACAGCGCTGAAATCAGATATAGAGAATCTCAATCTCCAATACCAGCAGAGGTTAAGGTCAATGTCTCCATGGGGAGCTGCAATGGATCACACAGTCATGATGGCTCCACCTCCGTCTTTTCCATACCCAATGCCTATGGCTATGCCTCCTGGGTCAATCCCAATGCATCCATCAATGCCATCTTACACGTACTTTGGGAACCAAAACCCTAGCATGATCCCAGCTCCATGTCCTACATACATGCCGTATATGCCTCCTAATACAGTTGTTGAACAACAATCAGTGCACATTCCACAGAACCCAGGTAACCGTTCTCGGGAACCTAGAGCAAAGGTCTCAAGAGAGAGCAGATCAGAGAAAGCAGAGGACTCTAACGAAGTTGCAACACAGCTCGAGTTAAAAACCCCTGGGTCTACTTCTGATAAGGTAGAGAGAGAGCTTGAATCAGAAGCTAGAGATCTTCTATTCTTCGGATTTATTGTTTTCACAGCTTTTCGCAAAACTTTGTTTTTTTGTAGGACACATTGCAAAGACCAGAGAAGACGAAGAGATGTAAGAGGAACAACAACAACTCCATAGAAGAAAGTTCTCATTCTAGCAAATGCTCATCTTCCCCAAGCATCCGAGACCACAGTTCTTCCAGTAGCGTAGCTGGTGGCCAAAAACCTGACGATTCAAAATGACCCAAAAGAATTGATGATGATTGCTCAAAAGGCATTTCGATATGCAATATGATGTGAGTACAAAATGCAGTCGCTGTTTAAAACAGGCGTTTGGATGCACCGTGGGCGTTCTTTTTCCTCGGACAGTCATTCCTCAGCTAATTTTCATCCTTAATAGGTCTGCTTTTAGTTCTAAAACTCGGCTGATTTGTAATATCAAATGTCTGAACTCACTAATTTAAAAAAGTTATATAAATTTAAACAAAGTTATAGTCCGAGTATTTAAAATTCATAGATTATATTCATTAGGTACAAAAGGAATAAGATTTGAATCGGTAAAATATAGTTTCATCATGAAGTCTATAAGACGAGAATTATATTGTTAAGAACAAGAGTCTAGAAACTCAACAGAGGCTGATTTACATATTTATCAAAATACTTAATGATCATTTCAGTTTAAGAGGCATAGAATGACACTTCTTACTTCTTGTGTGTTGGCTAAAGCAATATAAGAGTGTTTTAACATGCTATACAGTATCACAATCATAGGGAACATCATGAGGGTGGTGCAAATTGAATACGACTGTTGAGTAAGGTAAAGAGAAACCAAATAATAATTGACTAGTCTTGTTCAAATGATGGAAAAACACAATAAAGGCCGGTAAGAGAAAAAACAAAAACAAAAAGGGTCTATAACTAAGAAGCTCGTTCTTTCCTTTTGCCGGATTAGCTGATATCAACTAAACTTGGAACATAATAAGTGGACACAATTGGGCGACCATAGGGAGACTCCTCCAGATTCACAAAAGCTTCTCCAAGATTCACTTTCTTCAAGTATCTATTCTCTCCGATGATGTAAGCTGTTGTGTAGCTTTCAGATTCGTCTAGATCAAAAACCACGGCGACTTTCTTCTCTTCGTCGATGAAGAAACTCCCAGATTCAACCCCAAACTGAAAATCTAGACCAGTAAGCAGTATCATATCAACTTTAAAAAAGTTACTCCAAGACACCGCATTGGGCTCAATCATAGTTGTAACCCATATCTCCAACTCACATGTATCCATGTTCTGATATAACGCCGCGAGTTTCTCTCCTTTGACATAAGATAGAGTCCCTGTATGTTCAATATAATGCACAAACGGCAGCGGAAGAAACTGTCCAAAGCTCTCAGTCGTAAAATCAAAACATAGTAAATAGTCTGGTGGCTCTGGATACGTACCATCCCCTTCGTAGACAATCTTTTCTTTAGCGAAAAAGTAAGTGTTTCCTTTCAAAGACACGCCGCGTTGATAAAACTCTATCTCCCAACCGGGAGTGATATCAAGAACCCTCCATGAATTAGACCTTAAATCGAAGATTTCGTACTCAAGAAACTTGTGCTTAACATAAGGGTCGGAATGATCCAAAAACCTCAATATCTTGTGGTTGCCGTCATTGTCGTATCCGATAGCATACCTATCTAATCTGTGGTAAGCGTTAAGGGGTTGGATCCACTTGGTTTGACACAAATACGGGTTACAAACCACGAGTCTAGTGCGGTCCCTTGAGACGCATAACAATAGCCCATCGCAATGAAAAGCTTTAGTAATATCAACTTGATTAATTAAGTTACCAATCTCCTTTATTGATGGATCCACAAAGTACTCTGCACTTCCTTCTTTGTTAGATATACCACGGAGATCGAACCTTATTGAACAAAGCTTATAATTCATCATCATGAACCCTAGAAACGGCTGCATTGCTTCTGCTTTACACAAAACCGCATCTTTGGATAAAGCGTTCCATTGTTTGCAAGTCGATCTCACTGCTCTGAGGGAAGCTATCGGAACCTTATAGAGAATTTTCCCTACCAAAACTTGTGAAAGATCGGACATCATCGTCATTGTTTCAAGTTCTAATGATGTAAGAGGATTTAATTAGCCTCTCTCTTTTATTTTGCTTAATTTGCCCTCTTGCACACTCTTTATATATATATACTAGGTTCGGACCCGCACTACAGCGCGGGGGAAATAATTATATATATATAATTTTTAATTGATTAGAATATGTTATATTTTAATTTTATTGCAATGCATTCGATTACGGTGAATTATATATTTGTATAATAAGTTTAAATAAAATAATAAACGAAAAAGCGAGTAAATAATAATATATTGAGTTTTGATACAAATTAAATAACAATAAAAATTTAACAGCATGAAATAATCTTTATCGACAAATTATTCTATTGACTATTTCTGTAGTAGAAGTAGGAATATACATAAAAATTACATACTTACAATATATTTTATGAAAAATCAACTCGTAACATAATTCATTTGGTAAAAAACATTATTCATAACTCGCTTTACCATTATAATTGTGATTTTAACAAACTACCCGTGAACTATCTAAATTTACATAGTTTGATATATAACATATTTTATTAATAGTAATTATATCACAAAAAAGTACTTTTAATATTCTAAATTCTAATTATTTTATATGTCAACCTTTTAACTATAATATTTTAAAACTTTTTGAACTTTTAAATACGTTCATGTAACAATGGTTTTAATATTGATCATACTGATTTAAATCATTTTCCAAAATATTTAACCGAGTGTAGTTGAGTATTATATGTCCGTTTTGAAACATTCAAATTGCAACATATGCAAAAAATAAAATAAATTTTTTATTAAATATTTTTATTATATAGTATAATATCATAAATTAAAAATAATATCAAATAAATGTTAAAGAAGAATGATAATTGTTTTTAATATATTATATTAAATTAGTTAGAGAGATATTAGGAAATCATAAAATTAGTTATGAAAATAATATAATTTTAAAATTAGATATAGAAAGTATCCGATGTATGTATCCAAACCCATTTTAATATCCAATTTTGAAGTATCCAATTATTAAAATCGGGTTAATTTTTAATTTTGACCCGACCCGTATTCTATTTTGTACTTTTCTTTTACTAGAGACAAATAAGTTTAGTTACGATTATGCTAGTCTTCCGCTTCCGATAATGGTTTCTAATTATTATCTTTTCACAAAGATAAAACTTGTGGTTTATGAATTACGATTGAGTCAATTGAGATAGATAAACATGGAACTGAATGTATAGTTTGGGAATTTTGTTTATTGATTTTTTTAACGTCTAAACGGATTATATCATATATTATATCAAGTATATAAGTTAATCGAAATCCGTGGTTATTGGATTGATTATTTATAAATCGTTTCGAATATGTGTAATAGATTGTGAATTACTCTTTACATAATTTAAGAACAGTACTATAGTATTTGTGAAGATTTTAAACGCCATGCATACATTGTAAATACTAACTAATGATCACACTATTACTACATATATATTACTTTTACTTGACATCGTATGTATAAAAATGATTCACGACAGAACTGATGACGATCGCGTTTCATCGGGTTCGTGTCTGATGTGTCTAGTGTACGTGAGTATAAAACGCAGTCAATATCTGAACAGCGTTTTGAAACAATGTGAAACGCACTCGCTGCTGAAAGACGATAATAATTAATAAATGGAAAAATAAAAAGTTAAAATAATGAGTCAGCAGCAGCTGCGGTGAATTATTCTGTATGTCGGAGCAAAATTACTGCCGGCGACGAGGGAGGGATAGTCTTATCTTCTCCTCTCTCAAATGACTTTTGTTTTTCTTTCTCTTCAGATTCAAATCATAGATTCGATCGGATAATGACCACTACGACGCCGGAGAAGACTCCGGCGAGACCTCTCTCTGTCCAGGACTGGGACGTTCTCATCGACGACTTCCGAGACGCCGGCGCTCCTCGCGACTGGTTCACTTCCGTTTTCCAGGTTGATTCTCTGGTGGACTTCGCTCTCTCCTCTCTCCTCAAGAGAGACTTCCCTACCCCTGTGAAGCTCTCAATCCTTGTCTTTCTCGACGAATTTTCCCCGATTTTGTTTCATAAATGTGGTAGCGAGACCTTTGATCGCTTCGTCGATGTTCTCCGTACGATCGTGCAATCCCCGACGGATGGATCGTCGGGATTGAAGGAGCAAGCTATGGTTTCTTTCACCTCTGTGCTTGTATCGATTGATTCTTTCTCTGTAGGTCACGTTGAAGGAGTTGTTGATTTGCTGCTTGCGCTCGTTAATCGTCCTAACCACGGGTTTGATCGACAAGCTCGTGCTGTCGCGTGTGAGTGTTTACGCCAGCTCGAAAAAGCTTTTCCTGGTCTGCTATCCGATGTCGCTGGTCATCTTTGGTCGTTGTGCCAGGCTGAAAGAACTCACGCCGTGCAAGCTTACCTTCTCTTGTTCACTACGATTGTCTACAACGTGGTCAATCAGAAGCTTAAGGTTTCCCTTCTTAGTACCTCTGTACCGTTGGTGCCTTTCAATGCTCCTAATTGGATGCGTGATCAGAGTTTGGTTATGAGTCAAGGTCAAGGATTGGGGCCAGATCAGAAGGAACTGAGACGAACGCTGGCTTTTTTGTTGGAATCTCCGTATTTGTTCACGTCTTGTGCTATGATGGAATTTATGGGTATGGTTGTGCCACTTGCATCAGCATTGGAGTTGCAGGCCTCTATGCTGAAAGTTCAATTCTTGGGCATGATTTATTCGTTTGATCCAATGCTTTGTCATGTTGTCTTGCTTATGTACTCTCAGTTCCCTGATGCCTTCGAGGGACAAGAGAAAGAGATAATGAGACGTCTTATGCTCTTTTCCAAGGAGACTCAGAACTATCTTGTTTTCCGCTTGCTTGCGTTGCACTGGTTAATGGGTTTGCTGAATAAGCTTATGTTGAGTGGGGAGCTTGAGAAGAGGAAATCTGTTCTTGAGATGGGTCAGAAGTTTCATCCTGTGGTTTTTGATCCACTCGCTTTGAAAGCGTTGAAGCTTGATCTGCTGGTACAATGCTCTGTTAGTTCCAATGCTTTGAGTGGAGGTGATAACAGCAAATCTGCTGGGGATTTGTTGCAGGACTGCTTAGTATCGGTTTCAGATTTCAAATGGTTGCCTCCATGGAGCTCAGAAACTGAACTAGCATTCCGCACTTTACACAAGTTTCTGATATGTGCATCTACACATTCTGACACTGACCCTTCCACCACTAGAAGTCTTATGGAGTCTAGCCTCTTCCAAAACGTGCAGGTCTGTAGCTATCTTTACTTTCTTCTTAGTCTTGCTTGATGATGGACCCCTTTTGCTAGTTTTCAGAGGAACAGAACTCTGTGAGCCTTTTCAGTTCTATATAACTTAGTTCAGGAACCAATCTTTTGCTGATTCTGCTTTCAGAATATACTCGCCCTTTATTTTGATCGTCTTCTATGTTTAATTCAGGGGTTGCTGGTAGACATGACTTTGGAGTTTCAGATCTTGGTCCCTGTTATTGTGGCTTTTATTGAGCGGTTGATAAACTGTCACAAGCATCAGTGGTTAGGAGAGCGGTTCCTTCAGACAGTCGATGAGAAACTGCTTCCCAAACTTAAGAAAAACAATTTATTAACAGCTTACTTCCCACTTTTCCATCGGATAGCCGAGAATGATACAATACCTCCTTCTCGATTGATAGAGCTGCTTACGAAGTTTGTAATTTCACTTGTTGAAAAGCGGGGGTTTGATGTGGGGTTGAAATTGTGGGATCAAGGAACTGAAGTTCTTGGCATTTGTCGAACACTGATGAGTCACCATAAGAGCTCTAGATTATTTCTTGGACTCTCTCGCCTTCTTTCCCTCACATGTCTCTATTTCCCTGATCTAGAGGTCCGAGACAATGCTAGGTATGACCATGACACACACTAAACAAATCTTTCTAAAATTTATGAATTGTGATGGCGTTAACCCAACCTCTTAAACTGGTGCATTGTAGGATATATCTGAGGATGCTGGTCTGTATACCCGGACAGAGATTTAAGAACATTTTGAAGCCCGCAGATGCCGTCTCTCCATCAACTCATTCTTCTACATTCTTTAGTGTTCAAAGTCCTCGTTTTCGTCATGATCCTAACAAATCTCGGAACCTTTCAGCTTATATTCATCTTGAACGGGTGATACCCCTACTCGTGAAACAGTCATGGTCATTGTCTCTACCATCTCTAAGTGTTGGAACTGATGGATATAGCATTGCAGAAAACAAAATCCAGGTAGATGAGGTTGAGCCTGATGGCAGTCAAGAACTCCAGATTTTGCCAGAAGCTCGAAGAATTGAGTCAGGAAAACCTACGTTAAGGGTAATGGACTCAAAGATTGCAGAGATTCTAGAAAGATTAAGAAGGTATTTCTCAGTGATTCCTGATTTCAAGCACATGCCTGGAATTAAGGTTAGAATAACCTGTACTTTGAGATTGGATGCTGAACCATATAACAGTATATGGGGTGGTGAAGCTCAGAATATCGATTTAGAGAAAGTCGACTCACCTCCTGCGATTTTTGCGAGCGTGCTCAAGTTCTCATCTTCAGCCCCGTATGGCTCTATTCCCTCATGCCGCATACCTTTCCTTCTCGGTGAGCCTCATCCGAACAGCAATGCACCCAATGAAGAAGTGTCTTTAGACATCGTCCTGGTAGAAAACACGCTAAAAGAGGAGGAGAAAGATGGCTTGAGAGGAGCACCTGTAACAGTGGAACTGGAACCTAGAGAACCTACACCAGGTTTGGTCGAGGTTTCAATGGAAGCAAATGCAGAGAATGGTCAGATGATTCAGGGCAAACTCGAGAGTGTCCCTGTTGGGATCGAAGACATGTTCCTAAAAGCTTTTGCTCCACCAGACGAACCTGAAGATACATTGCCGAGCTACTACTCAGATCTATTCAATGCTTTGTGGGAAGTGTGTGGTTCTTCGTCCAGCACTGCACACGAAACGTTTGCACTAAAAGGAGGCAAAACCGCTGCAGCAATCAGTGGGACTCGGTCAGTAAAACTGCTTGAAGTCCCTGCTGAAACTGTAATACAGGCCACCGAGCTTCGCTTAGCGCCCTTTGTGGTGGCTATAAGCGGAGAACAGCTTGTAAACATTGTGAGAGACGGAGGAATTATCGAGAACATTGTGTGGAAAGAAGAGGAAGAAGAACAAAGGGATCACGCAAATGCAGACCAGTCTTCTTCGTCCTCGGTGGGGGGCATGGGATTAAACCGAGGCCCTCTTCGTCTGACATATATTGGATATGGAGATGACCAAGAGGTTCCGATGACAAGGAGCAGAGGGAAAATGGGAAAAATAAAGATGTTAATGTTTCTACCGCAGAGATATCATCTGCTGTTTGAAATGGAAGTTGGGGAAGGATCGACATTGGTGCAGATAAGAACAGATTATTGGCCTTGCTTGGCTTACGTTGATGATTACTTAGAAGCTTTGTTTTTGCAGTAGACTTTCACTATTTTTTTTTTCTTAATTCTTTTAGCCCACCTACATAAAGGCGCTACCCAAACGAACAAACACACAAAAAAAGAGAGTCTGAGGATGTTGTTTTGTTTTGAGAAATTTGTATTTATTGGGGGGGATAAAGAAGAAATGAGTGCAAGTGAAATGGTTCTAAAGCTGATTTGTTGCATCGTGAAAGAAGCTATAAATTAATTAAAGAGATAGCACAGCACGTGCACGTCGTCAACATTAGTTAGACCACCTTGCTCTGCTTCTCTTTGTGTTTGCTCAATTCCTCTTCCTCTTCTTCTTCTTGATCTCTCTGCTTTTGGGTACCGCAGTTTGGTTGATTTGCACTAAACTTGGAACATAAGAGCTTGAACACACAAAGCTACTATATGCTTTAACTTCTCCAATATCCACTTTTTTAAAGTAACTATCTTCTCCGATGATGTAAGCTTTTTTGTAGAGTGGCTCTGCGTAGGTGTCGCCGTCTGAAGTAAAAACCACAGCGAGTTTCTTCTCTTCGTCAATGAAGAAACTGTCGTAATCTCCATCAAAATCGAATAGTTCAGGACCAGCGAGTGGCTCAATATCAACTTTGAAGAAGGGGATCCACGACACTGCATTGGGCTCTATCTTACTAGTAACCCATATCTCTATTATTCCACTTGTATCAATATCACCATAGTCTAGGTATACCGCAGCGAGTTTCTCTTCTTTAACACAAGATACAAAATCAGAAACATCAAGCCGAAACGGTAGATCAAGAAACTTTCCAAATCTCTCTTCTGTAAAATCAAAACAGATTAAGCAATCAGCGGTTCCATCATCGTAGTCTGAATCTTCATCTTCTTTTCTTTCTTGTGTGCAGAAATAAGTATTTCCATTTACAGAAAAACCCCTCGGTCCCTGCCAGTGACAGATTATATTCCAGTTGTTGGGAATAAAAGTTAAACTCCTCCATGAATCAGTCTTAAAATCGTAAATATCGCAGTAGCCCTGGTTATCTTCATAAAAACTCAATATTTTGTGGTTTTTGTTTTTGTCATATCCAAGAACAAACATTGTTTTTCTTTGTGTGGTTTTAGTGGTCTTGATCCATCTGGTTTGTCCTAAATATGGGTTCCAAACCACGAGCGTTGACATATCCTTTGAGACACATAACAATAAGCCGGCGCAGTAAAAGACGAGATATCTCCACTTGATACATTGATATACTAACCAAGTCTTCACCATCTTCGTTGAGGATTCCATGGAGATCGAACCTCATTGAACAAAGCCTATGCTCCACGATCATGAACCCCAGAAACTGCTGGTTTGCTTGTACTGTACATAGAATACGATCTCTGGATAAAGCGTTCCATTCTTTGCAAGTACATCTCACTGCTCCAAGACAAGTTTTCGGAAGCCTAGACAAGATCTCCACTACCAAATCCTGCGAAAGATCTCTCATGCACGTCATCTTTCTCAAATCATAAACTAGGGTTTCTAACTTTCACCCTTGCCTATTCGTATATATATAGTTCCCACCAGTGGCGGACCCAGGAGAAAAATTTACCCGGGTCAAAAACTTTTTTTAGCAATTAAATATTTAAAAAACACAAAAAAAAAACCCATAAATGTAATATGAGAGTATTGAACTTGGGTTTGGAACTTCCCACATGTTCTTTTTTCTTCCTTTTTTTAAAATATTTTTATAAATATGTGAGTCTATATAATTAAGCCTCGCAAAATGTCAAAATAGACAAAAAGAAAATGGAAAAAAAATCCTTAAAGAGGAAAGCATTAATTCTTGCGATCTATCTTAAATTTCAGTAACACAAGATGCATATATATATATATATATATATATATATATATATATATATATATATATATATATATATAATAATTAAAAT